GGGGGGGCACGGGGGAGGGGCACCCGGGCGCGGGAGGGGGCACACGGCACCGGGTTCCGAACGGCCGGGCGGCCCCCACGCCCTGCAGGCCCCGCCCCGCCCCGGCGCCGCCCTCGACCCCGGACATCGGGCGAAGGGAGGGAGAGAGACCGGGGACGGCGACCACCGCCCAGGGCCCGCCGCCGCCTCACCGTCCGCGCTGCAGCCGCCTCTGGGGGCCCGGCCGGAAGTGGGCGTTGCGCGGACACTTCCTCTTCCGGAGATCAGGCCGGAAGGGCGGGTCCTGGGCAGATCGGGCGGGGTTCTCTGCCTACCCGGGCTCTGTGGCCCCTGCGGGTCGGGGGTGTCCCTTCCCGCCGGGGCCCTGTGACCCCCGCGCGGGGTCCCTGCCCCAGGGCGGCTTCCCACGGGGACAGCCGCACAGCCGGGCGGTCACACAGACCTGGCGCACGCCGGGGAGGCCGGCGGAGGTGCGGGAGCCCTGCCGCCCACCGCTGCCCCGCGAACCGGCGGAAACCGCAGCCCTGGGATCGGCGGGCAAGAAGCAGCCGGCTGACCCTGACTTTATTATTTTAGCTTTACCTTCTAATATCTGAAAGTTAGCAAAAAGTTGAGCAATGAAAAAACGTAAAGAAAAAGTAAAAAGTTAAAAATTACGTTGGAAATTAAAACTGTAAGGACATTTTGAAACTAATGAAGAAAAATTTGCCAAAATTACCAAAGCTTTTAGAACTATTACTTCAAAATATAGCAACATTTAAGATTATGAAAGAGACCTACACTGTCACTGTCTGGTGCTGAATTTGGATGTTACGACGCCCAGTGACTTCCTCAATCAACCGGTAGGTTAGGTAGGACGCTGTATTAGAGGAATTTAGTTGTTTTTCTTTACCACTGAAGAAAACAAAAACATTGGTTAAAAATCTTTCCTGACTTCTGTGTTTTCCAATAACTGAGAAGCCTCCTATGAAACACCTGGGAATCCTGGCTGAATATTCAGCACAGGTGGGTTCAGAGCGGGCAGGGAAATGCGCAGGAGCAGAAGCAGGGGGGAGACAGGACCTCCCCAGCAGGGGCCCTCGCTGTCCTAGAGCAGGTGGGGGACCGGGCTGGGGGAGGCGGTGAGTCCTGCGTCCCAGGGGTTGGGTTTTTACACCCAGGCAGGAGAGAGGATGAAACTAAGGCTCCCAGCAGGCGGGGCATAGACTGAGAGTCCTGCACACGCCTGGGTGCCCAAAGGGGTGCGTCCTCCGTGAAAGGGCGGATCTGGAAAAACAAACAAGAAAACTTCTCTGGAGGCCTGAGGATGACCGGGGGCTTGCCTGGCTCTGTCAGGGCCCTCGGGCTGGGGAAGGCACCCAGAGAACACACAGCTCCGGTCTGCACTTCGCCTGGGTTTAGCCTTTCCTCCTCATCTTTGACAGCAGCAAACCCGAGAGGGAGGGAGGGAGGGAGGGAGGGGAAAAGCACCAAAGTGTCCGAAATCCTGGCCTTGTTCTGGGAGGATAGAAATCCTGATTAGCTCCAGCTCAGACTTTGCTAATGAGCACATTAAGGATAGCCACTAAAGAAACAGAAACAGAATTAATTGTAGCTTCCAAAGGAAGAGAGGCAACACAGGTGAACCCACAGGGACAGCTCCTGCAGAGATGGAAGAAGATGAAGCAACACGCGG